TGACGTGTGTGCGTTGTGCATATGTTGTGTGTGTAATGTGTATGAGCTGTGTGTGCGCTGTGTACGTGATGTGTGAGCTGTGCGTGTGCTGTGTGTGATGTATGTGAGCTCTGTGTGTGCTGCATATGTCCTGCGTGTGAACCACCTGTGTGCTGTGTACATGATGCATAAGCTGTGCGTGTGCTGTGTGCAGGTGAGCTCTGTGTGTGCTGCATATGTCCTGCGTGTGAGCTGTGTGTGTGGTATGTATACGTGATGCGTGTGAGCTGTGTGTGCTATGTACATGATGTGTGTGAACTGTGTGTGTGTTGTGTGATGCATGTGAGCCTTGTGTGTGCTATGCATGTGATGCATGAGCCATGTGTGTGCTGTGTAAGTGATGCGTGTGAGCTGTGTGTGTGCTGTGTATGTGATGCACAAGCCATGTGTGTGCTGTGTACATGATACAAGTGAGCCACATGCGCGCTTTGCACCCGGCATGGGTGAGCTGTGCACAAGCTGTGTACATGGTGCATGAACCAGGTGTGTGCTGTGTTTGTGATGCACGAGGTGTGATGTGCTGTGCACCTGGTGTGTGAACTGGGTGTATACTGTGTAGGTGATGTGTGGACGCCATGTGTATGCACCATATACTACCTGTGTGCAAGCACGCACTCTGCGTGTGCCACCTCTGCCGTGTGCCAGAGGCCTGGCTGTGCAGTGCCCATGAAACACGCGTGCGTGACCAGCTCTGCATCCACATGCACTCTGTGGGCAGGGCTCGCAGTCTGCATGTGCGGGCACAGGCGACACTCGCCTGCTCGGGGTTTGCAGCTCTCGTGTACTCCGATATGCGCATGTGCGCTGTGTGCAAGCTTCGCATGTACTCCATGCCCGCAGTGTGTGCACTGCATGTGCCATGCATGTGCCATTGTGGGGAGGGCACAGGGGGCTGTGTCAGGCTCTCCCAGGCCAGGCCGAGCACGGATCCAGCCCCACCCCGTGCTCCGGGCCAGCTCCGTGAGTGTGGGCGAGGGTGAGGCGTGATCCTGCCCGGGGCGCGGGGAAGCCTCCTTGGGCTCGGGCTGGGCTGCCTGCCAGCCCCATTTGCCTAATGGGTCAC